AGGGAGAGCGCGAGGAAGGAAGAGCCGGTGGTGAAGGGCAGACTGCCCGACCCACACTGAGGGCTACGGGTGAAGGGTAATAGCCCAACAGCAGGGTGGCATCGGCCCAGGGTAGGGTCGCGGAGCCCAAGAGCAAGTGCGTTTAGGGGGAACTCCCTCGCTTGCTACCATCGGGAGCGGAGCTCCCGGTGTTAGGGCCCTGGGCCGGGGTCTGGTGTGAGGGAGGACCCGGACCCCCACCCCGCCTGTGGAGGGCGATAGTCGCGTGGCTGACGTCACAAGCATTGTTGTACAAAGTGAACCTGTGACAGACGGTTATTTTGAAATAGGGGGCCTCCAGCCCTTCCCAAGATGCCATGGGGGTCACTCTGGGCACAACCAGGAAAATTCTTCTGTTCCCTCCCCAGCCCTGGAGCCCTTAAAGGCGTAGACTCTGGCCACAGTGCCTGTGCCAGCTGCAAGCCTTCCAGCACAGAGCCAGCAGTCTGTGCACCTGGACTGGCACCCAGACCTCCACCGCTCCCCAGGAGCAAGCTAGCAGCTCCCAGGAGCTTGCCAGGGGCCACAAAAGGTGGGTGCCTTCCTGGACAAGTGCGGAAATCATGGACCTGATTGAGGTTTGGGGGGAGACCTCCAGTGTCGATGATCTCCGTGCTAGATGCAGGAATGTGGCCGTCTACAGGCGGATGGCTGACAGCCTGGCCACCAAAGGCCACATGCGCACCCAGGAGCAGGTTTGCATGAAAAGAAAAGAGCTGTGGAAGGCTTATGCCAGGGCCTCAGAGGGCAGCTCTCAACCAGGGGCTGACCCAGACCTCTACCCCTATTACAATGCCCTGGATCCTGGAGGGACAGCTCGTCCATGACCCCCACGTGGTCATCGACCCTGGGGCAGAGGGACCTGCTCATAAAACCAAAGAGAAGAAGTTGCAGGAGCCTGAAGGGAGCATGTCACTCACCCTGGACCCGCATACCCGCAGAAATATCAACAGTGTCATCTGAGGCCAGGGAGGCCTCGACATGTGAGTACCATCACTGTTCCCGTATGCAGGGTGTGGAGGGGAGAGGGAGACCAGGCACCTCGCCTGTGGGCCTTGCTGAGCACGGAGCACGCAGCAACCTGTGCATGTGCCGTGCCACCCAGGGGCCCTGGCTTGTTACCCACACGCATGTATGTATGAAGGCACATGACGTGCTCCTGACCCCGGGGAGGGACACTGCATGATGCCCTCCCTCCATAAGCCCTCTCTATGCAGATCTCCCCTTCCCCCCCCCCATACACCCACATATATACAGCACAAGGGCCAACTCATACTCCCGGGGATAGCAGGACATGATGGTGTGGACACCTGCCGACCTCACCTTGCAGAGTGGGGCTGGGCTTCACCCACTGTGTCCCCAGGGAGAACTGACCACTTCTTGTGTTTCTCCTCAGCTGCACCAGCTGCGAGTGCAGGGTGCACCACCCCACCCAGGACATCCTCCCTCACCCGGGCCCTCAGCAGGCTGACCAGGAACCAGGAGGAATACTAGCGGCAGCACCTGGGACTCTTGCAAAGGCAGGTCCACTGCAAGGAGCACTGGGTTCAGGAAGACCTGCATCTGCAGTGGGAGAGCTTGCGGGAGCTGCTTGACCAAGGGCATGCCATCTGCGACCACCTGCAGACCCTGGTGCAGAGATTTCTGCCTGCTGCCGCTCCAGCCCCTGTGGCCGCCCCAGCTATCGCTCCTCCTCCCACTCCTGCTCTCCCTCCCACTTTTTCCTCCCCCCGTACCTTCCTCCCCACCTACGCCACCCGCCATACCCACTCCCCCCAGGGGATACCGACTCCCCTGCACGTGCAGTGCTGCGAGACAGGAGGGTCGGCAAGACCCCCAACGCTGAGCTTCTCCTCCTCCTTCGTCCCCTTACCTCCCCATTCCAGGTCCCTCCTCCCAGGTGTCCCCCTCCCCTCTTCCCACCCTCTCTCCTCCCGTCTCCCACCTCCTTTCCCAAGTCTCACCAGGGTTTCATTTCATCCCTCCTTCCTCCTCTTGCCTCACCCTTCCAACTCCCTCCCTCCCAGGTTTCTCCCTGCCCTCTCCCACCCTCATTCCCCCTCACTCCAGTTATGGTCAATAAACAGAGTTTGGTTTTGGCAACACACGTGTTTTTATTTTACATCAGGAAGGAAGGTTAGGGAGGGGAAAGTGGAAGGATGTGAGGGTGGAATAAGGCACAAGGCCCCAGTGGGGCACGCCAGGGAGACTTCACTCCTCCTCTGGGTGGAAGCTGTCCCGCAGGGGTGGACCTCCCGGCTGGCAGCCGTGTGGGGCTGCATGTAGAGGCCAGCCAAGTGGTTGACCTCTGCCATCCAAGCTGGCAGGAAAGCCTCCCCCTTCCTCTCGCACAAATTATGCAGCACACAACATGCTGTCACCATGTGCAGAATATTCTGCTCAGAGAAGTCCAGGCGTATGAGGAGGCACCTAAAATGGGCCTTCAACCGGCTGAATGCCCCCTCCACCACAATGCGGGCCCTGCCGAGCTTGGCACTAAAGGCCTGTTGAGAGGGCGTGAGGTGTCCTGTGTAGGGCTTCATCAGCCAGGGTTGTAGTAGGTAGGCCACATCCCCCACCAGGCACACAAGCACATCCACATCCCTGACCCTGATGTGGCGGTCGGGGAAGAAAGTCCCGGCGTGCAGTCTCTGGAGGAGTTGTGGTAGACCTGTGCATCGTGTGCTTTGCCGGACCAGCCCACGTTGATGTCCACGAACTGGCCCCGGTGGTCAGACACAGCCTTCAGTATGACCGAGAAGTATCCCTTCCAGCTGATGTAGAGGGAGGCCTGGTGGTCGGGGGCATGGATGGGGACATGCGTCCTGTTGATTGCCCCCCCGCAGTTGGGGAAGCCAAGGGTGCCAAACCCCTCGATCACTGCGTCCAAATCGGTGAAGCGGATGACTACAGAGCAGCACTCTATTCATGGCCTTGGCCACCTGCAGAGGGACACACAAAACCACCGAGAGTCAGTGGGGTGCCAGGGTGGCTGAGAGTGATCCTTCCCCATCACTGTCCCGCGCCCCCACTCCCAGGAGCAACCCCCCCTGCAATCCTGGCCACCACGGGCAGTCCATAGTGCAGCTGGGACAGACCAAACCCTCCTGGGAAGGGGACTTTCACCACCTCCCCCCCTTTTCCCTAGGGCAGCCCATCCCCTCCTTGCACCCCCACTCCTGGCACAGTGGCCAGAGATTGCCATACCTTCATGAGCACTGCTCCGACAGTGGATCTCCCAATGACCAACTGGTTCGCCATGGATTGGTAGCTCTCCAGTGTGGAGAGCTTCCAGAGGGTGATAGCCACACGCTTCTGGAGGGGAATGGTGGGCCTCATGTGCGTATCCCGTTGCTGCAGAGCAGGGGTGAACCACTCACAGAGCTCGAGGAAGGTGTCCTTCTTCATCCTGAAGTTCTGGGTCCATTGTTGGTCTCCCCAGTGCTCCAGGATGATGTGGTCCCACCAGTCGCTGCTGGTGTTCAGACGCCAGATGCGGTGGGGCACACTGGCATCTGGGTGCTGCTGCTGCTCCTCCCTGGCCCCCAGGGGAGTCGGGAAGAAGGCCTGGGGGTTGGGCTGCAGCAGATGCTGCCAGGCAGTCTCCAGCAATTGCAGCCAGGCTTGCAGCAACACATCCAAAATGAGCAACAGAGTGCCCAGGGGTGGCTCTGGGTCATGGTGCCGAGTGCTGTGGTGTCCCAAGTCAGGGCAACCAAAGCAGACAGAGAGAAAAATATGTTGCTGTCCCTCAACATATCCCCTGCTTGCTTGCCCTGTCCCTCAGTGAGATAGGCAAGCAAGCAGGGAAAGCTGAGAACCGGCTGTCCGGGAGGGTTGGGGGAGGTCCCTTGAAGCATAAGCCTCAGATAGCCTCAGGCAGCAGCTACACAAAGCAACTACTGAACTGATGCCCTGCTAGAACCGGTTTCAGCTGCCCTTAAATTCAACTCAGCGTCCAATCAGTGTGGACGCGCTATTTTGAAATAGCAAAATGCTATTTCGAAATGCATTTTGTATGTAGATGTGTTATTTCGAAATAACTTATTTTGAATTAACTATTTTGAAATAAGATATTTCAAAATAACACTGTAGTGTAGACATACCTTCAGATATATAGCAGATAAAAATAATTGCATTTGTAGAGGGAAAATAAATAAATAAAAGAGTAGAGGAGTGGTGGATTGCTCTGCATTTTACATTTCCATTTGTCCCAAACACTGTGCCACTTCCATTTGAGAAGCTTTCACAGAGATGCCAGGATCAGGGTGAGTTCAAGTTCTCTTCTGGGTGGGGCTCTTGGAAGAATTAGCATATTTCAGGGCTGGTATTGTCAGGTCAGAGTTAAGTCATGACATTTCCCCATGCTATTCCAGGCTTTAAAATGAATTATACACTTTAAACCAAATTCTCTAACCATGTGTCTTACAGCTTGATTAGAATGAAAGACTACCAATTTATTAGCCAGCTGATCCCTTTACAGACCTCGTCCGTAGTTCCTTTTCGTTAGGGATATTTTGCATGAGGTCTGAATTTTCTCTGAGATCAGAGCTGTGTTAAAAATTGCCAATAACAGGAATGTGGTTTCAATGCAAATTGGATGAAATCAACTCTGTTTTTAAAAGGAAATTAAAAGTAAACCTTATCCTCCCATTGAAGTAAATTGTAAAATAATCCATTGACTTCAATGGGAACATACCCCATGGTGTTAAAAGTGAGAAAATGACTGGGAATTTTTTAGCAGTCTTTTGACAATGCTTTGATTATAGTTGCAGAAAAACCCCCAAGAGCTAATTTCTGATAGTATGACCTTTAAATAATAAATCCTGAAAATTTCTTTTGAAAATATTTTCGCCTTCCTTCCTTGTTCAAAAGGTTAGTTCTTTTTTAGCAACAGAAGGCCCATGATGTAAATATATAAGCATTTGCATAACTTTATTTATACAAACAGTTCCATTTTAATTGACTATACAGGTGAAACTGGCTATACACAAAGTACAGTCAAAAATAAACTGAAAAAAAGAGTTTTTCCACACAAATTACCTCCCATTTTTGTAAGCATAGGTATCATTTGTAACAATGTAAGTACAACATTGTCTTAGAGAAATGGGATAATGACCCTTTTATATTTTACCATATTTTTTAAAATTGAAAGCTATCAGAATCTTAACTTTTGCTTTCTGTATTTCTAAGCTGCATTCTCTACTCAAAACTGCTTTAAGAACCCATTTAAAAGCCCCTATTCTTCATTGACTTCAATGGGAATAGGTTCAGATGTTTTTGCTATTCAGTGAAATACAATCAATGATTTTGTTCTTGCATTCATTGTATATACTCGCGAACTGCAAGTTCTTTCAGAGAAAACACCTTTATTTGATCTCTTTTTGCCTTAATCTCTTCCAGTTTCTCTTGCAAGGATAGAAAATCCTTGCCAAGTTCATATGCCAAAGTGATCATTGTCTCTAGCAATGGAATATAATACCTGTGCCCACCATGCATCTGTAGGCGAAGTAAAGCCTTCTCTCCATATTCATAGGCACCTGCTGGGTTCTCAAGGTCTTTATGACACACGACTATAGCACAGAGTGTAGGGATTATTAAAACAGGGCAGTGTTTGGTTAATTTTTCCTGCAGAGCGATGACTTGCACAAGTATTTCCAAAGCTTTTGTATATTGGCCTCCTCTTAGGCAGCCATAAGCTTCCTCCATCTCTGGTCTTGTTAAGAAGTCAATAAATTTTTTGGATCTCCGGATATACTTCATAGAATACAGAAAGCCCAGATAGTCCCTGAAGGCTAATTTTCTTTCATTGATCATTTCCTCTGTAAAGTTTCCAGTCAGGCTCTTTTTGGGAAAGGTCACATCTTCCATTTCTTCATTAAAGTCTTTCAAAAGATTTTTGTGCAGTTTTTCAAAATCTGAGTATCGACGCTCAATGACAGTTTTGTTGCCATCAAAACTGCCTGTCTGGATGATAATGATTTTATACAACTGACAGGAAAAAAAAAACAAGCAGCAAAAAATATTCAGTCTTGTTACATAAGTCTGTGGTCTTGCTGAATGTTCACAAATATATTTTAAACTTTAGCTTTGTCTGCTTTGGGACTTTGCCCTGATAGGATTGACATTGGGGCAGGTGCAATTGTAGACAAGGAAATCCATGATTTACACCAGTGGATTTTGTCGGCTTGAAAAAGAACCCCCACCAATGCAAATTGCACCAATTTACATCTAATTGAACTGATTTGCATTCTAGATTACCTCTGCTACATCAGTGATTGTCCATCAGTTGCTAGACTTAGAGCAATATAATGTAAACAAGGACTTGGAGATGTTTCTCTTCAGTCAATGGTTCCCCATTACCGTTTCAGATTGTGGTTAAGCCACCTCTGTGAGGGGAGTAGCTATCAGTGCTAGGAGCGCGGCTTTACAGTGCGGCGCTTTAAAGTGCTGTAACTTGCTGTGGAGGAGGGGGTATGTTTTCACACCCCTGAGCCAGAAAGTTACAGCACTATAAAACGCCAGTGTGGACTTAGTAGTTTACTAGTTTACCAGATTAACCCCCCAAGATACTGAGGGCCTTCTTATTGAAATCAAGCCCCCTAAGGTGCCGCCCTTATATGCAAACTCTAAGGCTGCGTCTACACTGGCATGATTTTGCGCAAATACTTTTAACGGAAAAACTTTTCCGTTAAAAGTATTTGCGCAAAATCATGCCAGTGTAGACGCAGCCTTAGAGTTTGCATATAAGGGCGGCACCTTAGGGGGCTTGATTTCAATAAGAAGGCCCTCAGTATCTTGGGGGGTTAATCTGGTAAACTAGTAAACTACTAAGTCCACACTGGCGTTTTATAGTGCTGTAACTTTCTGGCTCAGGGGTGTGAAAACATACCCCCTCCTCCACAGCAAGTTACAGCACTTTAAAGCGCCGCACTGTAAAGCCGCGCTCCTAGCACTGATAGCTACTCCCCTCACAGAGGTGGCTTACATAGAGCGCTGGGAGAGCTCTCTCCCATGCTTGTGCCTTGGCCACACTTTCAGTTTAAAGCACTGCCAGGGCTGCACTTTAAACTTTTAAGTGTAGACAAAGCCTTAGAAGGAATGCTTTAAATCAGGGGTGGGGAACCTTTTTTGGGTTGGGGGCCATGGACCCACAGAAAAATCAGTCAGGGGCAGCACACAAGTGAGAAGCAAACAAACAAACAAACAAACAAACAAACAAAACAAAAAACCCCAACCCCTCCCTAACTGACATGAGAAGCAGAAAGATATTCCCCACATCCCCCTCGCACATCAGAGCCTAGGGAGATCCAGCCTGGTAGATTTTGTGTGCTTCAGCCCCACAGTGAGGCAGTGGGAGAGCTTGAGCACCAGAACCTCAGGGGCCAGACTCAGGCAAGCCAGAGGCCACATTTGGCCCCCCGGCCTGAGGTTCCCCACTCCTGCTTTAAATAACTGATGGTGCAGTCATGTAACTGCACTCCTTATAACAAGCATGGTTACTACAAAAATCATCCATAGCAAATGGAATGGATTTCCCAGGCCTAATACTGAATGTAAGACGTTTATATTTCATTGGTTATAACTGTTAGAAATATTTGTATCAGATATTTCTGGGGATTTCTCTGCAGGAGGGGGAGAGAGCTGGAGGGGACATTTGGTATATGCAAAAATGAGACGGAGCAACTCCAGAGAGATTTTTCTCTAAATCATTGTCCTATTATGCAAAGCCTACCACTTTATAAAAAGACTACAGAAGTGAATGCCACATTTCTAAAACAACGTTTGCTATCCAACATCCTTTAGCAATCTCTAGCAGAAACATTTTTATCAATCATTCACAGTTTAACAGTACTCAAGAATAAATTTCCCTCGATTTTTCACTGACCTTGATAGCAACATGAATTTAGTAAACATAAAAAAAAAAGCCAGATCATCCTGGATTTGAATTAGCGGGTCTAGCGAAGACATGCTAAATCAAACGGAAAGCGGCACTCCAGTCGATGCCAGTAGTCCTGCTTCCATGAGGAATAAGGGAAGTCGAAGGGAGAGTGTTCTCCCTTCAACTTCCTGCATTATGAACAGTGCCAAAAGTTGAGTTAAAGGTATTTTGACTTCAGCTACGCAATGAACGTAGCTGAAGTTGTGTATCTTAATTCGACCTTGTCCTGTAGTGTAGACATACCCTCTGGGGGGCAGAAACGGTCTTTTGGTTCTGTTTATACAGTGCCCGGCACAATGGAATCTTGGACCAGGACTGGGGCTGCTGTGTGCTATAATAATACGGGTAATAATAACGTAGACGGGGCCTACAAGTTGCTAGCCCAGTTAATGTTTTCCCCTCACTGATCCAGCCTTTATGAACTGTTTGTTGAAGGGCTTTTTTTTAAGGCAAAATTCCGCCAACCAGGCTTTCTTTATGTACTACCTTATTCTCAGAGTAGATTATTATCCCTATGTGAACAGGGGGTGCAAAATTTGACCTTGAGTGAGGCTTTCGGGTAAAGACTTACGCGGTGTAACCCCTCCTCCCCCTTGTCCCCATGAATGAAATTATGTTACATATTCAATTGTTATCTTACCACATATTTAGAAAAGTATTGTTCTACAATTCTGGTTGATGGGATTTCAAAAAGGAGTTTAACTTGTCTGCAGCGGCGTTTCTCATTCCTCCAGTGTTCCTGAAGCTGCTTAGTTGTCATTGTGGAGTTGAGATTTGGGGAGTTACTGGTATCTAAAACAACATATTGAATATCTCATGTTACAGCTAATGCATTTGCAAGGAAATCAGTGTACATTTGCCATGCAAGTGGAGATGTGAATTTCTGATACCATACTGCATGAATGTTTACATCATTACTACTGAGCAGGGGCAGCCTGTGAGCCTAGGCAGACTAGGAAGTTGCCTAGGGTGCCACTGGCCCGGGTGCCCAATGATGACATCACAGGACGCCGGGGCACCCCGTGGTTACATCACGGCCATTGACGGCTGAGCAGGAGGGGGTGCCGATCGTGCATTCCGCCTAGAGCACCAGCTGCTGCAGCTGGCCTCAGGCCTTTCCTGCTACTGAGAGTGATAAAATAAGGCAGCTCACAGCTAATCGGAATGACTGGAGATCATCTAATTGTGAACATTATGCTGCTCTGAAATGGGAAGAAATAAACAGATTACACAAAATTAAACTCATCTAGTTCACCACAAAGTATGAAGATTTGTTAGTAAAGCTTATAAGTACAGTCCTGATGACAACAACTTTGCCTGAAGAAAACACGGTGAAAAAAAATATCCTGCAAGCATATTGTAGACTTGTAGAGTATATGTAGCCACAGGGAGGTCATGACTCAGACATGCATCTGCGTCACCCTGCCCTTCTGTTTACGTCTTGATGGGCAGGAGGGGGAAGAGGAGAAAGGGAAGCAGTCCTACATATCTGGTTCAGATCTGTAGCAAAGTCTGAAACCCCCTGCACCTGCTCATGTGCTCTGCATTGTTGACTGAAGTGCAGTGTGGGGGGGTATGGAACCAAGGCTCCATTCATACTTTGTCCTTTCTATTGGTTCCAGGTAGCCTGTTCAGGAGCACAAAAGAGAGTTCTTATTGCCCCAGCTCCTTTTTGTGGGCACTTGGTACAAGCTACAACCTAAATCACAGTAGCTAGGTCATAACCAAAGCCAGAATGTCATTTGCTGTAAAGGTAAAAATGGTGGATGATAGATTGGGAAAATAGCTTACCAGAAATCTGGACTAGATTTTTAGCATTGAAGCACACTTCCCTCTCTTTGGAATCCAGTATTAATAATTTTACTCAGGTGAACTAGCACAATGAGGATAATGTGGGACATCACTACAACTGCTGTTTTCTATGGGCATATCTTGACCTGGAACATAATTAGCAAACTAGAAGACTTACCTGGCATTGCTCAGGTCCTTCAGGGCAAGGGGCTGAGGGTGTGTGTGTGTGTGTGGGGGGGCGGTGCAGGAGGGAGTGGATAGGAGCTGGGGGGTTTGGGAGGAGGGTGCTGAAGTCAGGGTTCTGACTTCTGAGTGGCTCAGGTAGGGGTAGGAGGCTCAGGGCAGGGGGTGCAGGTGCAGGATTCGGGACAGAGAGTTGGAAGGTGTGTGTATGAGGGGTATAGAAGCAGCATGGCCCACCTGCCAGCTTCTCCCAAGAGTGAGAGGTGTGTGTGTGTGTGGGGGGGGGGGGAAGCCCCTGCCAGTCTGAGCAGGGATGGGGGCACACAGCCTGCCCACCAGCTTCTCCCTGGGGCTAGAGGGTGGGGCAGGAGAGGGATGCACAACAGGCATAAAGTGGTGGGCACTTGCTGCCCCCCATGGTCATTCACGGATATAATTGTCCCTGTTATCATAACCCTCCCCTTCCATTTGAGCAGGTTGGCCTTACCATGAGGCAAACTGAGGTGGCCGCCTCAGGTGCCAGACTGGGGGAGGGGAAGGGCGCCACTATGACTCAGAGTGTAGAAAATTGTGTCTGATGCTGGTGCTTATGTATTCTCTCTGCAGTACCATGAGAGGAGTAGAACAGGAAGAAGGCAGAATTGAGAACTTTCAAAGTTTTGGCCCAAGCAAGGGGGCATGATTTTTGCCAGACCAGGGGAGGTCCCTCCTCTCCTGACCCGGGATGCCACCAGGTTAGGGTCCCGAGGGTGCCAGATCAGGGAGGTCAAACCTATACTAGAAGATTTACCCAGCATTTCTCAGGCCCTTATATCAATTCATTGTTGTTGTTTTTTTCATTTAAATCATTGCTCTGGGGTGGGGTTGGGAATGAAGAGTTCAGTATGCAGGCTGCCTCAGGAAGAGAGGACAACCCCAGCCTCTAAATGCAACAGCTTGGGGCTAGATGAGTAGCATCTCTCCATGACCGCTAAACTCCAGCAGGCACAGCCAGGGAAGGGGTGCACGTCTTTCATCTGAAACAGGTCCAGATTCATCTTTCCCCAGCACTCCCCAGCCAGAGTAAGGAATGCAGCAAACTGAGCACTTTCCCCTTTCTCCCTGACAAAGGTGAACAGCCAGCAACATCCCCAAACAAATCAGATTTGGCCTTCTTGGCCCTCCCGTCCAGGCATCTGGGGGATGGAAGGCTCAGGGCTGGGGCAGCAGCCAGCCGCTTTCATGTTCCTAGCGATTCTATCTCTTTTCTTTATGGTTTCCGAGAAGCAATCCCATTCCTGGCACAACCAAACTCTTACCTTGCTTTAAGTTATGATAAAAGGAAGCTACATACTGAATTTGGTGGTCCTAGCTCTTACCATTTAGGAGGAATTCTTGAATGAGCAGACAGACAGACTCACAGACAGACTCTCTCAAATATATAGTAGATAGGATAGCCAAGAGTCACCACTAATTTTGAAACAAAATACAGGACTATGTAGCACTTTAAAGACTAACAAGATGGTTTATTAGGTGATGGGCTTTCGTGGGCCAGACCCACTTCCTCAGATCAAATAGTGGAAGAAAAGGACAAATCAAAATGTGTTCATTTTTTTAAATTGTATCCTTTGGTATATATGGTTGTGACAATTTTCTTCCACTATTTGATCTGAGGAAGTGGGTCTGGCCCACGAAAGCTCATCACCTATTAAACCATCATGTTAGTCTTTAAAGTGCTACATAGTCCTGTATTTTGTTTCAGCTACACCAGACTAACACGGCTACATTTCTATCACTAATTTTGGTCACTCCTGTGCAGCTTAGAACAGAATAAGTTTTTGAAGAAGACTTTTGAAAGGAAAAGTATATGTGTGTGAATGAATGAGGCTACGTCTACACTGTGGGTTTTTTTGCGGAAGAGGAAATGCAAATGGAGTGCTCATTTGCATATCTCATGCTCTTATTTGAATATCTTCCGATTCTTTTTGCAGAAGAGGTTTTTCCGATAAAAATCCCTATGTAGATGGGGCCATTTGTCGGAACAAGAAGATCCCTTATTCCTCAAAAAATAAGGTTTACAGGCTCTTGCTCAAAAGGGGTTATTTTTTTCAGACAAATGGCCCCATGTACACAGAGCTTTACGATCAGAAGAGAATATGCAAATGAGAGTGTGAGATATGCAAATAAGTGCTCCATTTGCATTCCTCTTCTGCAAAAAACTCAGTGTAGACGTAGCCTGAGTGAGAGAGAGCAAGCAAGCCAGTACTTGATTCCTATGTAGCTTTAAGTTCAACACAATGATGCCAATGTCAAACTGTAGCAATGCAGAAATGAATCAAGTACACAGTTTTTAACTCATGAGACATGTAAGAATGATAGCTCCATGAAAAAGGAGTAGAATGAGTGGTCAGTCCTAACCTGAGAAAGTGGCCGTTTCTAGATTTTCATTGTTCACTTGACATGAAATTTCAGCATTGGTTTCATCTTGTTCTTCATCGGACTCAGCGGCTGCAGAACATGTTGACATGTCAGTGACAGGTTCCCACTGATCTGCTGTGTCGTGCTGATCTAGGTCCATTGTGAAACTGTTGCTGAAGAAATACAAAATCATATACTTCTCATCAGACACACTAAGAACTTTAGAAGTCTCCCAAAGTCCATTCTAGATAATTATTTATTACTTATTGAATTAGGACTTAATCTGACGCCCATTGAGATAAATGAAAAGATTCTCATTGATGTCAGTAGTCTGAAGCTTTCAGAGCTACTAATTCCTCAACACCTAAGTGCTTATGTATGAAGTGAAAGAAACAGATATGATATACAGATATCCATTCCACAAGGGACAGCAATAAAAGAATGCTGTAGCTGCCAATAAAAGTGCTACTTATATCAAACAACAGGTGAATTTTAGGTGAAATTCTCAATCCATCATTGTCAATCCATCATTGTCAATGCTATTTGCTATTGCTTTCAGTGGGACCAGGATTTTACCTTTTGTTTGTTCCTTAATGTTTTCTGGACTTGGTCACAGAGCAGTTGTTGAGAGGAACAAATTCTGGAAGCCTTTGAGTGAAAAGAGCCAGACTGCTGGTTCAGGAGAGTTCACCCCCAAGATTAAATGGCCACTCCTTCCCAGCTGGTCTTAGCCACCGCTCGGGAGTGCAGGTGAAACGTTAATGAATTAAATGTATTACTGTAGTATAAATGCACTTCTTAAGTCCTTTCAGAAGACTCACCTCTGCTATGGTGCCTACAGTGGTACATCTACACTACCGATGGCAGTGTAATTTCCAGCTTAATTAGACCTACACACACTAGCTTAAGCAATCTAGTTGTGGCGGCATAAGCAGTAGCTCAGGCTAGCTGCCCAAATACATACAATCCCATCTGAGATTCCTGGTATGTGGGCAGCTGGCCCAACTGATGCCTGTACCATATCTAGTATCTGCTGTTATTTAGCATGCTAGCTCAGTCAGGTTTTTTATGTCTACCTAAACTGGAAGTGACACTTTCTACTGCATCACAGATAAACTCCTGAATCTGACAATGGGGAGGCAGGTAAATTACTGAGTCTTCTGTTTATTAGGTACCAGAGTGTTCCTCTTGTCACCCTTGCTTTTTTATTTCAGCTCTGTGCTTTGTGCTATGTCTTGTCACAAATCTAGATTTGTAAACTCTCTGTATCTGGATTTGTGTGTGTGTGTGTGTGTGTGTGTGTGTGTGTGTAAGGATTTCATCCACACATTAACAGAGAGCTTATTATAATAGGCCTCCAGATTCTATGTGAAAGTAATGCAATACAGCTTCAAATTAGCATCCTTGACCACTTTTATAATATTAATAATTATTTATAATATTGTGATGAAAAGTTCTAAAAACTTGCAATGACTTTCTCAGGGATTTGTGTTTGATCAGTTATGTGAGAGGAACATTTTTTTGCTAACAATTTGGCTAAATCAGAAAAACAAATAATATAGATGGCTAATGGTATCAGCAGAAAGTCACAACTCCCATTCCAGCAGCAAAATTAAAACATTAGTAAAATATGTTATTGAGAGAGAACTGCTACAGTATGTTTAGGAAGTTAGAGCTACTGCAGACTGCTTGGTTCTTACTTCCTCATTATTTAAGGACATTTGTGCACAATTATGCAGTGCTGTACCTAGAAGTGGGGAAATTCCTTTATTGAGTCTCTTGCAGTCTGCTGTGTCCATAGAAGTTTACAAGGTTGCAAAAAGCACCTAGCAGAACTTTAGAGAAGGCAGTGCCTCCAGCTGTACTGAAAATGCTAAGTGAGAGCTTCCTCTGCTCCATGGCTTGGGCAAGCAAGATTCCACACAACTCTCTGTTCTCCTTAGCAAGGGCCTGATTCAAAGTCCATCAGCTTCAGAACATTTTGGATCAAGTCCCTGATGCAGTGAGAGGTGCAGTCACAAAAGTGGAATACCTGCAAGCTACATGGAAGCATTTTCAAAATACAGTAAAACCTGTGTTATCTGGCATGCGTGGGGATTAGGGTGTTCTGGTTATCTAAAAATTCCAGTTATCTGAGGGTCCCATCAACCTAGGAAAAACCAATGGACAATAATAGTAAAACTCAATTTAGATATTTACCAATTCAACCTTTTTGGAGCTGTGACCCCTGCGCCGCAGGGGCTGCCAGCTGCCCAGCCCAACCCAGCTCCCGGTCGGCCGGATCATAGCGGCGTGCTGCGAGGCTGCACCCAGCCTCATACCAACTGTATTAAAGCGCCACACCATGCTGAACCCCTAGGAAATTTTCGAGGTTCTAAAGTTTTCCAGATAGTTAAGTGCCGGATAGTGCAGGTTTTACTGTACTGTAATAGAGGTTCAAACAAAATGTATATCCCAATTAAAAAAACATAAGAAGAAGACCAAAAAAAGTGCCATCAGAGCTAAAGAACAAAGCAAAAAAGAAGTGGTTAGAACAGTGGCAGGCAAATACAAGGCCAGATCCAGTTCACCAAGGTTAGCTCCTTGTGGACCACCAGTGCTGTATTTACCTGCGTCTCTGCAGGTTCAGGTAATTGCAGCTCCTGATCACCATGGATTGGCATTTCTGATCAATGGGAACTGCAGGAAGCAGTGTCCTGGTCCCCGCCACTTCCTGCAGTTCTCATTGTCTGGGAACGGAGATTCGTGGACAACGGAAGCTGCAATTGCCTGTACTTGTGGAGATGCAGGTAAATACAGCAGTGGCAGGCCATCAGGGGCTATCTCTGGATAACTTCCACCATTTTATTGCCCATCTCTGGGTCAGAGGCAAAAAGGCATTCTTTAAAAACTGTAAATAAAATCATATGGGGAAAAATAGGAAGGAGCATAAATTCTCTCTGATAGAGGCAGCGAATGGGGGTAGGAGAAGCGACAAGTTGAGTCACTACTCGACTACCTGATAAGCATGTGCTTGTCAGATAGTCAACTAGTCGCTTACATCCCTAGTCAGACACATAGATGAATATGATGCCTCACTAAACTATTTTTTGAGGAATTTGAATTCTTTGAGGGGCATCAACAGATGTGGACAAGAATGATCAGGTGGATATACCACCACAGGACAAGAATGATCAGGTGGATATACACCACAGGACATACCACACTAATACCAACCCTGGTACCTTCCCTTGCAACAAACCCCGTTGTCAGCTTTGTCCACATATTCATTCTGCTGATACCATTATTGGACCTAACCAAGTGAGTTATAAGATCAAGAACACATATTCCTGCGCATCCAGAAATATAATCTATGCTATCATGTGCCGAAAGTGTCCATCTGCTATGTACATTGGACAAACATCTCAGACACTTTGCCAAAGGATTAATGCCCACAAAACAGATATCAGACAAGATCACAAAGAGAAAACAGTTTCTTGTCATTTTAACCAGAAAGGACACTCTCTCAGTGACTTGACCACCTGCATTCTGCTACAAAGACCTTTTACATCTGCACTTGAAAGGGAATCCTCTGAACTGTCATTCATGTTAAAATTCGACACTTGCCAACAAGGACTTAACAAACATTTGAACTATCTCACCCATTACCAAGACAGTTTCCCCAATTATCACCTCTAATACCATTAACTCACAAACATCCCCCTCTCCCTACCTCTAATATCATCAATTCACAGACACTTACCTTCCTTCCTTCCCCACCCCCCCCCGCATCCCCCTCCTCTTCTGCAATGTGATTTGTCCTTTTCATATTTGTTCATTTTTTTTAATTGTATCCTTTGGTATATATGGTTGTGACTATTTTCTTCCACTATTTGATCTGAGGAAGTGGGTCTGGCCCACGAAAGCTCATCATCTAATAAACCATCTTGTCAGTCTTTAAAGTGCTACATTGTCCTGCATTTTGCTTCAACTACCCCAGACTAACACGGCTACATTTCTATCACTATTCCAGGTGGATATAGTATACTTGGATTTTCAGAAAACTTTTGACAAGGTCCCTCACCGAAGACTGCTAAACAAAGTAATAAGATGCAAGGGAAAGTCCTCTGGTAGATTAGCAATTGGTTAAAAAATAGAAAATAAGGGGCAGGAATAACTGGCCAATTCTCAGAATGAAAAAAGATAAAGAGTGGTATTCCCTAGGATCTGTATAGGGATCAGTGTGGTTCAGTATACATTTTCTGAAAAAAGGGATAAACTGTGAGGTAACAATCTGCAGACAATACATAATTACTCAATATAGTTAAGTCCAAAGTGAACTCAGAAGAGTTGCAAAGAAATCTCAAAGAACTAGGTGACTGGGCAACAAAAAGCCAGACAAAATTCATTGTTGATAAATGCAAAGTAATGCACATTAGAAAACATAATTCCAACTTTATATACAAAATGATGGGGTCTAAATAAGCTGTTACCACTCAAGAAAGAGATCTTGGAGACACTGTGAAAAGGACACTGAAAACCTCTGTTCAATGTACAGTGGAAATTAAAAAAAAAACACCTGAGTGAATATTGAGAACCAGTAGGAAAGAGGTAGATAATACCACAGAAAATATCACAGTGCCACTATATAAATCCACAATATAGCCACACTCCATGCAGTTCTGGTCTCCCCATCTCAAAACCCCCCCAAAAATATTAGAATTAGAAAAAGAGTACAAAGAAGGAGTAGTACAATGATTAAGGATGTGGAACATCTTTCATATGACGAGAGGTTAAAAAGATTGGGACTTTTAAGCTTGGAAAAGAGATGACTAAGAAGGAATAAGATAGATGAATATAAAGTCATGAATGGTGAGGACAAAGCAAATATGGAAGAGTCCTTCACATGATACAAGAATGAGGACTCACCAATAAAATTAATAGGCAGCAAGTTAAAAACAAAAATAAAATGCACAATACAAACTCTTCACATAATGCACAATAAACCTGTGGAACTCATTGCTGGGGGATGTTGCGAAGGCCCAATCTATAACATAAATAAATTTATGGAGGATAGGTCCATCAGTGGCTAGAAGGGGAAATCAATCCTGCAGAGAGGCACTGGACGTTTGCTGCTCCCCAGTGGCTAATCTCATATTGCGTCCCTCCTCTCTGTGTCCCACCCTTTACTAGGGTTGCCAGGTGTCCAGTTTTGAACTGGACAGTCTGGCATTTGAGCTTTCTGTCCAGTAAATAAATAGAGAAAATACCGGACACATAAATGTCTGGTATTTTCTAATTACGTTAATTTTATTATTATGAGTATTAGTGTATACCAGCCAGGCAATACGCAACTACACAGTAGAGAGGAGGGAGCTGGGGCGGGGCCAAGGTAGGATGGCATCCTCAGGGCTGGATTTCCTTGTGCTTCACCAGGATTCACCGCAAGTTCCACCCCTGCTTTGCCTCCTCCAGTCCTGTTTATACCTCTTTCCCGAAGTCCCCTTCCCAGAGCTATGTGACCCAAGGGATTATGAGGGAGTGTAGCATGGAGTGGCAACGGGTCGCTCCCTCCTCTGTAATATAACGATTCAGTCTAGGCACTGCTGAGAGAGTATCGGATTAGAGCGATTCTTTTAGAACCAGAGCAATTTACAGCCCAAGAGTGAGGTCCTTCCCTATAAAGGCACCAGACCAGTCACAAAGAGCACTTCAGTGCCCTGTTTGGCCAGCAAGAAACCTCACAAGGCAAAACCTCGTAGACACCCCAGCGTTCCCTCTGCAACAGTCAGATCCACATACATAGGTGAGAGGTTATAAAACCCAATCTCACCAACTCCAATTTTTTAAGCCATCTGGTAACCCTACCCTTTGCGTGTTATGGAAAACTGTCCTTTTCCCTGGGCTTCTGGTTTTCCTTGTACAACCAAACCCTCGCTTTGCTTTAAGTTAGGAGAAAAGGAAGCTGCATACCAAATTTGGTGGCCCTAGCTCTTATCATTTAAGAGGAGATCTTGAACAACCAGACTCAAAAACAGATATAAATGTTAGATTTTAGAGTGTGCCTGTCTGTCTTTGAGTGGGCCTTTGGGGGCTAGGGGTGATAAATTGCCCCTGGGAGCTGGGGGAGGGAGGGTTGGGGGAGAGAAAATGCCCCTGTCAGCCGGGAGGAGGTTAGGGGAGAGAAAAGGCCCATGCTGGGTGGGACTCTCAACCCCCCAACCCTCACACTTGCACCCTACAGCGCAGCCTCCTGCACCTGCTCCCCTATATCCACAAGACCCTTCCCTGACTCCCACCCCCGCCTCTCCACTGCCAGCTCCCTGCCCTGAAGGACCCGGGCACTGCCGGGTATATCTGCTAGTATATATATATAGAAAGATGAGAGTTCTCACTGCTCTTTCAGTCTTTGTCAACCACTGTTCGTTGCACATTCAGAATAGCCAGTTATTTAAAGTTCAGTTAGTCAATCAGTTTGATTTATTACCTTGAAATCACAGAGAAATAAGTTCATTTTATAGACTATGCACTTGGAAAATCTTACTTTTAAAACAAGAATCTGAAAAAAGCAGATTAAATTATTAAACTCATCTTAAATACATGTAAACTAAAAATGGCTGACCCAATTTGAACTAGATTTTCCTTCTGAACTGCAAATTTGTATGATGAGATATAGCACAGTGATATTTATGTTTAAGATACTTACCTCTGAAAACAAAATTGTATAATGGAAATACTCACGTGCTCATAAACATAAAGGTGCTATTATGGTGATGAAATAGATCCAAATGTCATTGTTCATTGTGTTCAAAGGTATAGTACTACACATATATAAAGTAATAGTCTGCCATTGTAACACATAGGAATTATTGTGAACTATTTAACTAACCATTAAACTATTCACCATCCATCAAAAAGCATAATAAAGAGAAATCAGCACTACCATGCACAGACTGTTGCTTTGAACAGGTTGTTTAATTGAAAATACCATTGGAAGTAATTTAATTGAATGCTTATTAATATTATAAAATATAACATACTAAATACTGACCTTTTAGCTTTTGCAGAGTTTTCAAGGGTGATAAGATTGCAATCTATATAATTTCATGGGAACTTTTCCTTTTATTTTCAAAATATAGAAGAACATGTCTGTTGTCTTGTAGCAGACAAGTGCTTATTTTTTACAGAAAGGAAGGAGGAAGTCTTGCTTAAATATGACTTCCTCATCCAGATGATTTGTTGCTCGAGTGGGTGGTTACCTCAAAATGAAAATGTCTATCTGCCTGTAGAAATTTTTCATATAGTTTACAAGCAAGGTAAACCTCATCCTGTTCCTACTGTTACACTTTAAAAAAAAAATGCTGCAAATTACAGACAATGCCAACGTTAACTTGGATTATGTTGGTTTCTGTCACAAATCCAAATCTTTTAAAATTAGCTTTATGTATTTGCTACATTGTGAACACAGTGTCATGGGTGAAATCCTTGACTTCAATGGATACAGGATTTCACTCATGATGATAATATACAGCTTTATGAGAATTTCAGATTTTAACTCTGCTAATTTATGTGTAACTATATTATTTTATGGTACTCAAGGGTCTGAATACTCTTTTGTTTTGCTAAATGAAAGTGGCAAAAAGCCCTTTTAGCATCTAAGACGTATATGCTCAGCTATTTCAAGAGCAGGACCTCCTAATTAAATACCCTGCAGAAATATTACCAGCATTATTTACTGACTATAAAAATATTTTTTCAAAATTTTGAGTTAATTACTAAAATCTATCCAAATTATAATTAGTAATATTAGAAAATTAACAACACGATTAGCATATCAATGAAACTGCATATCAACAGAATAAAAATGTAATAATATTTATCTCTTTGTATTCCTAGTTTCATTTAAATAATCAAATGAGGCATGAGAAATGGATTTAAAGTATAGTCTGTAGGGACTGCACGAATGTGATTTTTTTTTTAGAGTTTAAGGAAAAGTTTTACTGTTTGGGAGTACAAGGAGAGTACAAAGGAGGAAAACTTGTATTGGCCGGTATGTTTGAAATGTTCTGGTGAAAAATTGATTTTGATTTTATCAAATAAATACTCAGATTTTACACATACAAAAATAGTGTCATTTTAACAGTGGTAGCACACATTCTGAGGGAAGAAAAGATTTTCTAAAAGGTTAATTTTACTGACTGTTTCAAATTATTAGTAGTTGGTAATGATTGATGCCTGGATCCATACGCTCATTCACCAGGCATTTTATATGAAATATTTCCAATGACCCTTCATAAAAATCTCAGAGGGGTAACCATGTTGGTCTATAACTAAAAAAAAACCAACGTAAAAAACAACAGTGGTCATGTAGCACCTTAGGGTGTGTCTACACAGCACAGTTATTTCAAAATAACACAATTCCATTTTTTAAAATAAATTCGAAATAACGGATGGCTTATTCCAACTTCTGTAAAACCTCATTCCATGAGGAATAATGCCTATTCCAAAATAGCTGTGTCAAAATAGCTGTAGTGTGGATGCTCCACTGCTGCTATTTTGAAATAGCTTCTTCCCAGGCCCTCTCAAACTAACTATTCTCCAGTGCCTCCCGGGGCTCTAAATTGAGCTAGCACATCCACATTAGGGAAGCCTCAGAATTGTAGTTGTAGATGTGCTATTTCGAAATAAGCTATTTCTGAGAATTTCTTCCGGACTAGCCTATTTTGAAATAAGTGTAGACGTACCCATAGGCTATGTCTACACTGGGGGGGTTATTGTGCAAGAACGGCTGTTCTTCTGCAGAGCATCCACACTACCCACTCGCTCTTGGGCAAGTAGATTTACAGTAAAGTGTGGTAAGAGAGGGATTCTTGCACAAGAGCTACGCTCTTTTCTAACAGGTGTAAGAGCTTTTGTGCAAGAGGGCAGTATGGACGCGCGGCAGGGGTTTCTTGCACAAGAAAGCCCTATGGCTAAAATGGCCATGAGAGCTTTCTTGCGCAAGAGAGCATCCACACTGCCATGGATGCGCTTGCGCAAAAGCACATCTCGCACATGGCAGTGTGGACATGTTCTTGCACAAGAATTCTTGCACAAGAACCCTTGCGCAAGATGTTCTTGTGCAAGAAGCGTCCAGTGTAGACATAGGCTTAGAGACTAACCAAAAAATATATAGATCGTATCATGAGCTTTTTTGGGCCACTTCTTCTTCAACCCTTGGTAAGTTATTTCAATAGATAATTGCCCTCTCTGTTAAAAAATCTGTATCTTTGGGTATGTCTACACTAGCTCATTAGTTCAAGCTAGGTAGGGTAATGAGGACAAGCGGAGTTGCAAATGAAGCCCGGGATTTAAATATCTCGGGCTTCATTTGCATGTTCCCAGATGCCGCCATTTTTAAATCCCCCTTAGTCCGAATGAGGAGTAATGGTAGTTCGAATTAGGATCTTTAATTCGAACTGCCTACTCTGTGCCGCATGTAGCCGCGGGCAGGGAGTTCGGACTAAGGGGCATTTAAAAATGGTGGCGCCCAGGGACATGCAAATGAAGCCTGGGATATTTAAATCCCGGGCTTCATTTGCAACTCATTACCCTAGCTAGCTTGAACTAACGAGCTAGTTTAGACGTACCCATATTGTGCTATTGTCCAATTGGGATAGTACAGGTTGAACCTTTCTAGTCCGGCACTTTCTGGCCTGGCAACATTGGTGGTCTGGCAAGATTTTAATTAGCTGGATGTTCGCTTACCATGGGTGTGGCCAACTTTCCTGCAGTCCCATAAAGTTTGTTTACTGCCACCAGGCCTGGCTCTCAGTGTTCTGTGCTGTTATTTAGCTCTAATTTATTCTTAAATGTCTTCTATGAGCCAAGTAAGCAGTGGAAGCATTAGTAATGCTGCTAGACATTATTGACCTCCTGTGGTTCGGCAAATTCTCTGGTTCAGCGCCTGTCAGGTCCTCAGGGTGCCGCACTGGAGAGGTTCAATGTGCAACAACAAAACTCTTATTTGGCCATCTGACTATATTAGTCCATTCAGATGAATTATACACATCCAAATTGATAAAATTATTTAAATATAGGTGCCCCTGTTGGTCTGGCCCCTGCCACCAGGCTCCCTGTCCCCAAGCTACTGTCCTCAGCCACCAGGTTCCCAGTTCCACTCCTGGCCACTGCCCTGCTGCCCCCAGATGTTGCCAGACCAGAGACTCCCTGACCAGAGAGGTTCAAACTGCACCCCTTATCTTTCAGTAATGAGCACAGCAAGTTAACATCATGATCATATTTTGAGGATACTGACATGCTAATTATCTTGTTTACTAGAGTAATACCCATGTTTCAGTAACTCATGTTAGTGATATTTGTATGACCAGACAGTACTTAATCTCCTTTCTTAGCAAACATGGCTCTGAGGCTACGTCTACACTGCACGCGTGTTCTTGCGCAAGTAAATTTACAGTACAGCGTCAGAAAACAGGGCTTCTTCCGGAAGAGTTATTTCTCTCCCCACGAGGAATAAGCCCTCTTGCGCAAGAGCTCTTCCACAAGAAGGCAGTGTACATAGGCAACACGAATTTCTTGTGCAAGAAAGTCCTATGGCTAAAATTGCCATCAGAGCTTTCTTGTGGAAGAAAGCGTCCACACTGCCATGGACACTCTTGCGCAAAAGCACATGGCAGTGTGGATACATTCTTGTGGAAGATCTTTTGCACAAGAACTCTTGTGCAAAACAGTTCTTGCGCAAAAAGCCTGCAGTGTAGACGTAGCCTGAGTGTTTTGACATGACCATTCTTTCCCCTCCTCTACCCTGCATTTTATGGCTCAAACTGTGTAACTAATCCTTGTTTATCAAACATCATGATTCATTGGACACTGACTGACAAAAAAAATCAAGATGAGGCAGAAATGTCTAACATTGTTATCTGAAACCTTTTTATATTACTGATGTCTAAATACTGGGATGCTGTTATCTTATAAGTTTCCATCAGAAATCTGCTTATTTTTTTAAAGCATCTCAATGTCTGATGAAACAGAAACATTCAGCTGCTGTTCACTGATGAAATTATAACAAATATGTTCCAAAGTGCAATACCAGCACAGCACAAAAACTTCATATTAACCTGTATAATGTTTAATGTATATTGTTTAATTTGAAATGGAGATTTGTTTTGCCTCAGTTAATATTGTGAAAGAAACAGTGAAGTCTGTTTCCTTTTATCAAGAGTGTGATCAATGAAATGTATTTACCCACCTTGTAGGAAAGTGTGCTTTTATGTCAATATTAAAACAAAAGCTAATTCTTTAAAGTGTGATTAATTTAATAGTGTACTCACTTGAAGGCCTCACACTGCCAGAGCAACATAATGGAGGTCTAAAAGCTCTGTAAAACAACTATCAGGCACCTTGTTCCTTCTGTAGTTTTTCATGAAAATAATAAATATGACTTTAAGTGCAATTTTATTCTAAAAAGTGACGGTGTAAAATGTTGTGGTGAGGTTGCATATTCATTGTGTTTCACTAGTTACATAACAAATTTAATCCATTTGTAAGGGAAACGTACTCTTCACTACAAGCAGTCAACCTAATTAATTTTGGATTCTCACATTTAGACTAAGTCTATTCCATCTCACACATCATCACAATAACAGAGTTCTTGTGCCTTCGCTCCTTTTTTAAAAAAGACATGTTTCGTTCCATGACTTTTACCACAGATATATTCAAAAGCCTGATTCTAGCTGCAGCAGGACTTTTTCTTGCTTATGGGCTAATTTTGCCTCCACTGGGTTCTGAAGACCTTTGGGGACCAGAACAGTAAGTACCCAGTGTAAACTAGGACAGCCCCAGGATTGTTTTAATTAATCCAAGTTAAAGTTGACATGGTCTGTAATACATTACAAGAACATTAAGGATGAAAAGTCAAGCTCTGAATTAGGAAATATCAGATTTAAGGATGTCTGTGAAATCTTAATTTGGACTCTTTCTGCATGTACATTATGATACAGTCTTTAATTACATGAACTCATACTATTTTTTCATAGTTTTCTAAGCATATTGGGAGTTGCCTGCTAGAAACACAAGTTTCAGAGAAGGAATTTTTTATATGATTTAAAGCCTGGGTGGAGGGAATAAGAGGCCAGGAAAGGCAATGCCTTCCCATGTTGCCCAGCTGAA